GCCGCTTATGAAACAATCTTGTGATATCGTGCAGGAACTATAAGAACAAAGATGAATGGATATATTTTTTTATGACAGCTGTAGCTTTGATGCTTTACACATGAGGTATATGTTTCTTATCTTTATCTTATTATTATTGGGACATACGTTCCTACAATGGAAGAAAATCTGTGTAAATATATTTGTTAAATATTTTGTTATTGTTGTTCCTATTGGATTAACTAGAAAGTGAGCTCCTACTGGTTGTTCTAAATCTGTACAAAAAACCGGTCTACTGCTCATCGCTATAAAGTATTAGGTGAACCCATGTGTACAACTCTTCTGTATGTGTGGTCTAGATTGAACACATATACATATAGGACAGTCTTCTCTGTGTGTGAGAGCCATAGAGTGAACTCATATACGCTAGACTTCTGTGTAACAACTGCGTAGTTAACCCTTATATACGTCTCTTTTGTGTGTGTGGTCTAGATTGAACCCGTATACATATAGTTAACACACAGGATCACCTACAAAAGTTGTAATATTTTCAAAACGAGACCCAAAACTCGAGCGCTTTCGAATAGTTGACTATTCTTCCTAATACATATACATATAGGATAGTATTCTCTGTGTATGTGCACTAGACTTCTGTTTAACGACTATACGTCTCTTTTGTGTGTGTGGTTTAGATTGAACCAATATACATATAGGACAATCTTCTCTCTGTGTGTGAACGATAGGGTGAACTCATATACAGTACACTTCTGTGTAACAACTGTGTATTTAACCCATCTATACGTCTTTTGTGTGTGTGTGTGTGTGAAGTACAGAGTGAAGCTGCAGACTTTAATGTTTTGCAGTACACTAGAGCATAGCACTTTTGTATATTAAGTATAGAGTTAACTAGTTTGTACAAGTTTCACTTTTGTTACAAAATAAATTGAACCCATGCCTTCGCTTCATTTTTTAATGAACTATAAAGAGAGCAGGCGCTTGCAAGTATTGCAGTGGAATGCATAGTGAAGCTACATTGAACAACGGAGTAAATTCACACTTTAATATTTTTTTACTTTGTGAACTGTAAAGTGTGCCATATATCTAAATATCTCCTTTAAGTGAACGTTAGAAAATAACAACAACAAACTATTGTCTAAACGTTATCACGTGCTTAGAGTATTAGAAAAAGAAACACAGTTTGAGACTATTTTAATAACATTTTTTAGGGCAGACTATCGCACTATTTTCATTGTGTTAAATATCAATAAATTATGCCGTTGTGTAAAGCGTAAAGTAACTAATATTAACATCTTTGCGTTCTCAGAACTCTCTCATCGTTGTGTAAATGTTAAGTAACCCAGTGTTTTTGTATCTCCAAAGCTGTACAGTGAACCCATGTTTAGTGCTTTCATCATGGAAACTAGTGAGTGACCGAACATACAGTATGTGTGATCTGTTGACATAGGTGTCATTATGTGAACTATCGACTTAACCACTGACTATAACTAATTCTTAAGTGAACCATTGACTGTAACTAATCCTTGAGTGAACCATTGACTATAACCAATCCTTAGGTGAACCATTGACTATAACTACTCTTTAAGTGAACAATTGACTATAACTAATCCTTAGGTGAACCATTGACTATAACTAATCCTTGAGTGAACCATTGACTATAACTAATTCTTGAGTAAACCATTGACTATAACTAACCCTTAGGGGAACCATTGACTATAACTACTCTTTAAGTGAACAATTGACTATAACTAATCCTTAGGTGAACCATTGACTATAACTAATCCTTAGGTGAACCATTGACTATAACCAATCCTTAGGTGAACCATTGACTATAACTACTCTTTAAGTGAACAATTGACTATAACTAATCCTTAGGTGAACCATTGACTATAACTAATCCTTGAGTGAACCATTGACTATAACTAATTCTTGAGTGAACCATTGACTATAACTAACCCTTAGGGGAACCATTGACTATAACTACTCTTTAAGTGAACAATTGACTATAACTAATCCTTAGGTGAACCATTGACTAGAACTACTCTTTAAGTGAATCCTCGACTACATGTAATTATTGAGTAAACTCTAAAGTAGATCTTTTTTTTTTTGTAGTTAAGCACAAATTTAGACAATGGGCTATATGTGCTGTGTCCACCACCAGTATCTAAGCCCGATTTTTAGCGTTATAAGTCCGCAGAAATATTGCTGAGCCACTGGGGGCTTAACTAGATCCCTTGAGTGAACTATCGACTACATATAATCCTTAAGTGAACCCTCAACTAGATCCAGTGCTTGAGTGAACCGTTGACTATAAAAATCCCTAAAGTGAGCAATAGACTACATTTAACTTTTATGCGAACCCTCAACTGCTGTGACTTACAAGCATACCACGTGTTTTCTGCCTCTTTGTATTTATATAGGAAGTTTTCAAAGTTTGTTATTTGGACAGACTTATGCACTTTTCATATAACACGTTGGTCAGAAGATCGTTAAATTATTTTTGTTCTGGCTAACTTTGTTCTGTGTCATTCACTTAGAGTATCACCTGTTGTCTTTCCGTGGGAAAGATAGCTGCAAGGCCACTTGTAGTACGTGAAGTTAGATAGTTATCTTTTCTAGTAGCAGTCAGGTGATCGCTTGAGGTAATTACATCTTTTGTATTTCATTGAGGATGATCTGTCACGTGGGTAGTGCTAGTTGATCTGAGTATGTCTCACGTTAAAGATCTAAGTAAGTAACGTGAGATTTGTTGAGTTTGGATCAGAAGATCATCAGAGTTAAATTTCTTTGCGAGCTGATATAGAGAGTATCTTCAGAGCTAACTCTACAGTAGAGACGAAGTCCACGTGACAAGTGAAATATACATTTCCACTGTGTTTGTTTCAAATAAAGACTATTCATTCTAACTGCACATTTATGTTCGGTCTCTCTTTATCCCTTACAAATGCAGTTGATGATGTTCAATTATTTCGCAATAGATATTTTGATGAATCTCCCGTTATTTAGCGGACTTCTTGTCACTTTTAGAGGAAATAGGTTTAATACCACACTACATTTAATTCTTGAGTGAACCAGTAACTGCTGAATTTTGTTATGCATTTACATTTTTTCAAAACTATAGCGTTTTACACAATATAAAATCTCATAAAAGGCATAAAAATCAGAAATTTATTTCTAAAAAGTTGAGTGATTTGGATAATTATATAAGATATGTAGTTTTATTATTAAAAAAAAACTCTTAAGAAAAACGTAAATGAAATTACAGTTTTTTCAATGTGTTTTGCTCTCGAAAAATCAACAAACAGTAATACACGATGAGTCAATTTTTAATTTAAAGACAATACCATAATGGATGGCTTTACTGAGGAGTAAGGTACTTTTTATGACTATAAAACCGTGTTAAGCCCTGTTATATAAATCTTGTTTGTTTGTGTGTGTGTGTGAAATAATGGAGTAAACAATATTTTAGCTGCTTAATTACCTTTAGATTTGAAATATGTTATGGTTAGATTGTCTTAAAGCAGTTTATAAATATTTTAGGAATTCCACATGAGGAAATAATATTTCACTTGAGAACGGTAAAAATAAATACATAAATATAAAACCCATTTTTAAAATTAATATTGCTATAACTATGATGGTATATATTAAATTTATATTTTGCAGTTACGTTTGTAGTGTTTTGGCTGTATTTTATTCTTCTCAGGGAATCTATGTTTATAAAATACAACTAAACACACCATACGTATAATATACTGTCAACCAATGTTAGGCCCGGCATGGCCAGGTGGATAAGGCGCTCGACTCACAAACTGAGGGTCGCGGGTTCGAATCCACATACCACCAAACATGCTCGCCCTTTCAGCCGTGGGGGCGTTATAATGTGACGATCAATCCCACTATTTGTTGGTAAAAAAGTAGCCCAAGAGTTGGCGGTGGGTGGTGATGACTAGCTGCCTTCCCTCTAGTCTTACACTGCTAAATTAGAGACGGCTAGCGCAGATAGCCCTCGTGTAGCTTTGCGCGAAATTCAAAAACAAACAAACCAATGTAAAGAGTCTCGTTTAGCTTTTTGTTTTTTCGATTTGTCCTTGTCCAAAGCTATTGATGATGAGTGGAATTCCCCGAAACTGGTGACAAGTGGTGAGTCGAATTATAGATTGGGCTACAAATTTGTTTTTATTTTGAAAGTTTAGTTTTTGAAATGACTGTAAAACGTGGCTATATTCCCAATTCAGCTATTTACGAGATAAATTCCTTTCATTCTGATTATGTTGCTAATAAGCATGATTAAATATACACTTAAACAGTTTAAACCTGATAGAAATTCCTTTATGGCATGGATGTTAACGACAAAAGTGGAAACCAACTGACCTAATACTCGTGGCAAAAATCACGCTAGACTGCAGATGTTTTTTTTCACATTTATCTTAATTTTTCCATTAAGGATTTCAAAAATGGCATGCAAATTATATCGCCGCTCAAAGACAGCAGGAAAGTCTAACTTTCAAATAGTTGTCGGAGAGTTTTATTTGTTTTTTTTTTATCGTTAAGCACAAAGCTACACAACGAACTATCTGTGCTATGCCAACCACGGGTATCGAAACCCAATTTGTAGCATTATAAGCCATTAGACTTACTGCTGAGCCACTAGGAGGCCGGATAGAACACTCTTCATTGTCAAGTTCACGAACCCATCTTTAAAAATCTGCAGTTAATTTACTGTACAGAGGTAGAACTATAACTTGACCTGTATCTTGATCAACTTTATTACTGTGTGTTCAGAGGGGTAATTATGTGACGAATATACAATAAACAGGAAGAAAACGTAATGAACTTGAACATTAGTGAGTAACGGAAAAGGGAATACTATAATATCAAAGGAATTTCTGAAACATATGTTTCAGATATTGGTGTAATCTTTGTATTGAAATATGAACTTTCTCATATTTAATTGAAGTAAGTCTTGGCAGTAAAACATGAAAACTCAGGATGTTACCTACTTTAACCAGTCGCCCTCCTGGAGGTCCAAACTGATTCGTGTCTCACTCTTTGGGGCAACGTTTTCATTTATTTTCAAGCAGTCTTCGCCGAGAATACAAACAGCCTAGACGGGAGAAGATTCAAACATGTATGTTAGCAGTTCATGTATGAGTTATGATCTAAACAGAAAGAAAAAGTGTTTAAACCTTTTAAGAGAGTACGTTACTTGAAATATACGTAGAATAGAACAAACTTACATGCCAGAACTAAAAAGAGAAGATGTTACTCATTATGACTAACTTGAATGTGAAATATTGAAAAGAGAAGATCGAACTCTTCATAACAAAAGTACATGTCAAATAGAGAAAGTAGAAGATATAACTCTTCATGACAAACTAACATGAAATATAAGGAAAAGATATCTGACACTTCAAGAGTAAATTATGTGTAACATGTTAGGTAGAGAAGATCCAAGACTGCAGTACAGCATTTTGTATAATATAGGAAAAACAAAGCTAAAACTTCAGTAAAAACGTTTGGTATGAGGCATATCTTTCACTTGAAAATAAACTTACATACGATATATATAAGACCATATAAATAACAATATTATGCATACTACATAAAAAGCGAAGACCTTAAGCTCTTAAAATAGAGGAGACGATGTCTAAATATTTCAGTAAAAAGTTACATGACCAGAGAAATGACGTTAACCCTTAAAGAAGAAAACTTTTCTTTCCAGAACCTATCGTATTATTGGGATTATTTATTCATCTGCTTTTATGGCTCTGTATACTTTCTAAGTTTTACAGTCAAAAATATACTGTAATTAATAACCAACTTCGCTTCTGTCACTATATTACACATCGTAATCTTTAAATGATATGTATAATCATCGATATCAGTGTTATATATGTATTAAGATGTGACTGTATCAATTTTAGGCAGCATTGCTTTGAGGAATTCAGTTGAATAATATTCAATAAAATAGATAACATTAGGATTTTAGTGAAGGTATACGGATTGCCTGTTTTACTAAAATTATTTCTTTAATTAAGCTAAATTATTACTTCTAGATTAGTCATCGAGTTTAACCAAGATAAATATCGGTTTACCACTAGAGGGCAGTAGCTTATTTCCCTGGAGTTATCAATGATAAACAATTCTAAGATGGTCTGTATAAATTCGTTCGCCTGTTCAGATCTATACATAACATATATGCTTATTCATGAGGTACAAGAAAAGAAGACCTTGAATCTACAGCTGATATGACTCTTGATACTAAACTTTAGCATGATACTAAACTCCAGAACAAAATACCGATTAAAAGAAACAGGCAGAAAAAAGTATTTCTAAATATATTAGATTTAAAAGGGTAATGATGGAGAAACATTCAGTGACATAACAATTTATTCCCTGTGTGATATTTTCACTATTTAGGTAGACCGTTTTAAACACTTGTTTTGAGCAAATTTTGAACTGAAGAATGAAACGTTTTGTGATGAAACCTTTTCCATAAAGCTGTATATATATCTATATATTTATATAAATAACACCACGTAGAATATATTCATTACATAGAATAACTAAGTAATATTTAACTAAGTGGCTTATACTATTAACTTTGCAACTGTCAATATATATTTAGTAATTAACAAGGATAGTGATAAAACATTTAAAAAAATTTGGTTTACTTAAACAATTTGTTTTTAAAACTATTGCAGGACAAACAACAGGACGTAGAAAGAAAATGGTGTGTTTTTTATCTCCAGAAAAGAGAAACAAACTATGGTCAGTGAATAATAGCTCGAGTCAGACAAAATGAGCGTGATTTATTTTATGGTTCCTGAATCAGGCCGCTGTAACCCACTAATCATTATAGCTGATTGTGTCTGTCCGTGACGCAAATACTTGAATTCATATCTCTACGAAACTATCAGGGGTTCTGGTATATGCCCCAGTGAAATTCTAAAACCCCATTCCTTACTTTATTTGGTTTCTCATCTTTACGAGTTTGATAGCAATTTTAATTTTGCTCTTGCAACTGCCTTATTGCCTACTTCCCGAAGTCTGATCGCCTTGAAACTTGTGTACGGCTCATGGCTCAGAAAATTATGTACGGCTTATGGCTCAGAAACTTGTGTACGCTTATGGCTTAGAAAATTGTGTACGGCTTATGGCTCAGAAACTTGTGTACTGCTTATGGCTTAGAAACTTGTGTACGGCTTATGGCTCAGAAACTTGTGTACCGCTTATGGCTTAGAAACTTGTGTACGGCTCATGGCTCAGAAACTTGTGTACGGCTTATGGCTCAGAAACTTGTGTACCGCTTATGGCTTAGAAACTTGTGTACGGCTCATGGCTCAGATGTTCAAGACATCTAGAAGTAGAAGTGAGATAATGTATTGAAAATAGTTACACTGTTATTAATAAGCTAGACAGTAGGGGTTAATTTCAAGAAAACTTGATGTCAGTATTTAGTAGATCTGCATGACGAAAGACGCACCCCGTCCCGCCATCCCCGTGAAATTAACAAAGTAGATGCTTGTGTCGCGCGGAAATCTTTGCTAATAACCGATAAAGCAAATTAATACTAGCCTATGGTCACTGTTAAGTTTTACTGACTATAGTCACTTTGACACTGTCTGCTAAGTAGCTCTTCTTATTTCATTTCTTTAACTATGTAGAGATCATTCAGTTTAATTATCATTATGTATATGTGTGTATGAGTGTGTATTGTCTATATATATATTGTTTTAGTTTGATTAGAGGTTCAGCAAAAGGTGGTGATTGGTGACTAAGAAAAACTCAAACATTTTGTGTAAGCATTCGGTGACCTTCAGTAGTATAGTGGTTCAGTGGTAAGGTCGAGCGCTTATACCGGGTTTTGATACTCATGATGGGCAAGGGCAAATAATCCATTGTGTATATATGCTCTTAAACACAACCAAACAAGTATTTAGTTAATATTTCAATAAAACCAGTTCTAATTTCAACGCTTCCTCCGATTTCCCAGATTGTTTAATCTTAAAAAATTCAGTAAACAATTTTTTTGTTGAGTTCCCGTCATTTTATTTATTTTGTAAGCAACAAGATTAGCTTTGGTATCTCATTACTTCACTGAACTAATACATATACAGAATTAAAAATCATTAGGCAAATGGCAGGGAAAAATAATATAAAAGGGAAATACACGTGGTACAAGAATGCCACCCTGTATCGCTTGAAAATGAACTGCACCAGGGTAGAGTCATATGTTGATGGTTTACACTATGAGTGGCTCTCGCCAGCCAATTATAAAAGGTCATACTGTTATAAAGCCTATAAAAGTATATACAATCATACTATGCCATATAAATAGTAGAGTGAAATAAATAACGCAACAAATTTCCGCGTTTCAGTAGGAGGAGCTATGGGCAATATCTTGAAGAGGGTACGTGAAACATGCGCTGCTTATAATAGAAGTGAGTGACGCGGGAAACCAAAACAACTGGATTAGTAAAGCTTGTGATGATTCTCTTTGCAGAAGAATCCACGTTTAAAATAAAATAATTAAAAATTGTTTATTCGACGGCGGAGGGAGAACGATTTCATAGTTGTTATATAACTTCTATAATAAAGTATGGTGAATAATTACAAGTTTGGGCTGCATCTCAGCCAAGCATGATGTTGATATATACAAAAGTGATGGCACCCCGACTGTTGACAAGTACACTCAGTGATGTTGATATATACAAAAGTGATGGAACCCCGACCGTTGACAAGTACACTCAGAGCCTGATCCATCAAGCCATTCTCCTAGGAACACGACTCATGAGACAGGGATTCATCTTCCAACAAGACAATGATCTCAAGCACACAGCAAATGTAGTGATTAGATATCTTGACGTGAAAGAGACCTATGGAAAACTGACAAAAAAGGCTTAGCCTGCACAAAGTTCCGATACGAAAATTGTTGAGGCTCTATGGGCTTATCATAAATTGAAAAGGTCAAAAATGCCATCAAACAACTTAGTTAAATTGTGTAATACAGTACAAGATTCAACAACAGTACATTGATAAACTATATGGCAACAGGAAAACAAGTTGTAATGTTCCGTATAAAGCTGTCTTAAAAATCCTAGTGTATTTTGCAACTTTTTCACTTTCCTTCTGTACTGGCCAGGTGGTTAGAGCGCTTGACTCGCAATCTGAGGGTCGCGGGTTCGAATCCCCGTCCAACCAAACATGTTCGCCCTTTCAGTCGTGAAGGCG